GGTTGGATTGTCATCCTGGAGGACCTGACAAAAGACATGCCTGTTACTAGAAGGCATCTCGGCCCCACACAGAGGTGGACGGAGACAGCTTCTTTTCAATAAGCAAACCGGCAAACAGATTTCTCAACCTGCTCTAGCAAACAGGCAAACAGATTTCTCAACCTGCTCTAGCAAACAGGCAAACAAATTTCTCAAGGCCCTAAACCCAGATGAGCAACCCCAAAAACACCATTATGAGAAGGAAACCAAACGATTCTGTTTGCATTCTAGCTTTGCCTGTGACTAGCGCAGCCTTAGGCAGGTGTGTTAATATCTCCGGGTTTCCGTTTCCTCTTCTGGAAAAAGAGGTAACGTAAATCCTTATCCTAACCACCTGTGCCATGAGCAGCAAATGCAATTGCTCTTGTGAAAGTTTTGTAACTGATGCACTTCTGTGTAAGAGATGGTCCCCTCACTGATCACAGCAGGCAAATATGGGAAAAGCCCTCTGACAGGAGATGCAAACTCCTGTCTGACAGCTTTGTGCTGGAGGCCTCAGAACCCGCCCAGCGTTCACCATGATATTGTGATTATTGGACTTTGAAAAGCCTGTAAAAGTTTAATCGGTGCTCATTACAGAAATTCTACTTAATTGCTGCTTCTGCGGCTAATTTTTGCTTTGTGTTCATTTCCACATCATCTGCAATGAATATTTACTCAATGTTTGCTTAAATAGCTTACATAACACGAGATATAAACCCTTCTCTGCAAACACGTGAAGCAGACCTGTTTATATTTATTTTCTACTATTTCTGCGTAATGGATTTTAATATCATCTCTTTATATAAATAAAGAAGATGTAAATTTAAACACTCTGACCTTTGGTAAATCTTAACGGTTGGTCCCTAAGTCGCTCCTGTAAGTGCTTGCAAATGTTTCCAATTTCAGCACTGCTTTCATCTTGAAAACACAAAAAAGATTTCTATCATTATTCCTTCTTTGTTTTTCATTCCCTGCTATGAATTTCACTTCACCACTTCCCTATTCATTACATTCTTGCACCTCACTGAGTTAATAAATTCTTTTGACACCTACTGCCCCTTCCTCTTCTTGCTATCCATCCCCTAAGGATGGCGCCCATCAATATTGCATGCCAGGGGTATGCTTGGGGAGAGCAGGTCTGACAGCTCCCTAGGCCAGCAGGGAGTCTTCTCCCTTCTGTCCCCACTCAGTGATGAGAAGAACCCCTCCTCCTTCCGCCTCAAGCACCTGCTGCTAACAGCAGACTGAGGGACAGATGTTTCCAATTCTCAATTGTATTGCAAGGACCACTCGAAACGGTTTCCACTTTAGTTTCCTTCCTTAAAAGTTTAATGCTCCATCGACACATACAACAGTATGGTGATTACCAGAGGGAAAGAGGGTTTGTGAGAGGTAGAAGGGGATATGGGAGTGGGGGGGATAAATGGTGACAAAAGGAAACTTGACTTGGGGTGGTGAACACACAACACAATATACAGACGATGTATTATAGAACTATACACCTGAAACCTATATAATTTTATTAACCAGTATCACCCCAATAAATTCAATTTAAAAATAAAATTACATAAAATATATTTTTAGAAAAGTTTAATGCTCAAGGTATCATTGCAACTAAAAGGTAAGAGTAGTGCTTAGGAAAATGCAATCATTGCTTCCCCACCTCCACTGTCTCTGGTAGGAAAAGTCGAATTTCAAAAAGCTCAGGGCAGAGAGTGTAATATTAACTATGACACAATAAAAGCAAAGCTTCACTCATGATCTAAGAGAATGCATTTCAGATTGGAAGGAAGGAGGGAAAACTAGGTTAAGAGGAAATGAAAATGAAGGGGCAAAGGGGATAGTAATGAATTCTTAAGCTGCCAATAACCTTAAAGTCCAAATATAAGTACATTTCCAAGTACTTTGATAACTTTAGATTTAATAAAACTGTGTTGTTATTCAGTGAGAATGGAGATGATATTAAAAAAACGAAAAGGAGTCAAAAACTGTTTTGATTTCCTAAATGGAAGAGGGGAAAGCCATAGGTTGTGGAGATGCTAGTAAAATTTTAGAATGAGAGAGGAAGCAGTGACAGCCGAGTTTTATTAAGGGAAAAATATGCCAAGTTTTAATTGAGTTCTCAGAACTTATAAAAATAATTGTCAAGAACCAAGGAATCTCTAAGATTTAACATTATTTGTGAGCTACCACGTAGACTGCCAGTTAGACGCTGACACATGGCACAAGAATCCTAGTCAGAGACAAAGTACAGTTCATTACTCACAAGGACAGCGCTCTCCAGAGTATTCTCATTGCTGTGCCAGTTTCCTGAGCCCAGGTTCTGCAGGAGTGATGCAAAGAGGGATAAACAACACCTACACATCCAGCGGTTGCCTCTCAGGGAAAGGACTCCGGGCCTAGGGAACCTGAGACTTTTATCATGAGAAGTAGGCATGTCTACCATTTACTCCAGAGCTAAGCACTGTCTTATCTTCCAAGGTGTGTGCTATGCAACTGCTTTGCGAAGATAGGAATGTGCAAAACACATGAGCGCTCCATGGAGAATTTTCTTCCATCAGTGTTAAAAAAAAAAAAATAGTAACAACTGCTATCGCTCATTCAGTGTTAAATGAGGCCATAGAGATAAGTTAACTTCTAGATTATGTAGTATTTAATATATGAACCACAAGTAAAGATGAGAAAAATCCATGTGAAGTGCCCATGGCCATTATAAAGGAATTTGATATGTCCCTGCAATATCCACATGAACGAAATGGAAAGAGGTGAACGAGACAATGTACATTTTAATGGGTTTATATTTGGCTGAACTAGAGAACTCGGAGTATTGATGTCAGACCGGAGAGACATTGCAAGCGGTGCCCTTGGAAAGGTCTCTGTCTCTTGCCCTATTCTTGTATTACAATGTTATCAGTGATTGGAATGAGAACGTAAGTGGCAGGCATATCAGATTTATGGAGGGTAAAAGACTGGATGAGACAGCCAATATTTGGAGGAAAGACATAGCATTAAGAAATAGATGTCCTGAAATTTTGCCTGAAACTACTAAGGAGAAATTAAATAGCTAAATATAAATTTCTGTACATAGGTTCAAAAGCCATCATCATTGCAAACACATAACTATAGAGACTTAGCCTAAGAGCCTCTCATGTTAGAAATACATAGATTGGTTAGTTTAACAAATTACCCAACCTTCTTGGGGCATTATTGCCTCATTTTATACAGAAGATGTTTAACCATATTATATCCATCTTCCCATCTAACTCAAGCATGCTGAAAATATTTATAAATAATTACTTGATTAAGAATAACCCAAGGCAATGATTTTGTGAGGTATTGATAAAACTACATATTCCAAAACCCAGAAAATAGTAGTCCCCTTGTACTGCCTACTTGAGCATTACATTCATTCCAAGATGACCCACTTTAGTGAAGATATTGAAACACGGATAAACATCTATATGAAAGTGAAGATAGAAATATAGGGAGAGAGCAGGAAACCATGATTTTCTAGCTGAAGTTTAAAACATTAAGGAATTGAGAGAATGTTTGCTCTGAAATACAGAAGACTTTTTAGAGACATGGTAACAATCTCTAAATATTTGAAAGGCTTTCATGCCACAGTAGAAAGAAAGCAGGTCAAGGATTTATTGAGAGGTGTCAGGAAGGGAGATTGTGTTCATTCTAAATAAGAATGTGTTGTATATGTAAGTTGGTAATAGATGAAATGAGCCTCAGCAGTCGTGGACTACAATTTTTGATGTGTCAAAGCACTAACCAGCACTGGCCAGGTAGTTCAGTTGGTTGTAGTGTCATCCTGATGCACCAGGGTTGTGGGTTCGATCTCTAGTTGGGGTGTATACAGGAGGCAACCAATAGGTGCATGGATGGGTAGAGTAGCAGATGGATGTTTCTCTCTTTCTCTCTCTCTCTCCCTCCCTCCCTCCCTTCCTCTCTTTCTCTAAAATCAATGGATGAAAAAAATTTGAAAAACTAAAAACCACATGTCAGCATATTATAGAGAGGCTCCTGCTTTGGACAGAAGATGGTACTTATTGATCCCAAGGGCCCTTCCTCCTCTAAAATTATATTAGTCAATGATTCCTTAAGCCACATTACCTGACAGAGTAATACTGAGAACTGTTGTTGAGAAGACATTGATTGGTCTTTGTCCCAGCGATAGCGCTGTTAGTTGTGAGACTTTGGGCAATCCACTCAACATCTGGGGACTACATCTTCACATGCCAACTGGTAACTTGGGTTAATTTATCCATTTGTTTGTTGATTACAATCTTGTCGGAGAAAAGATTTAAGGCAATTAAAAAGAGAGATGTGAAATAAAGATTTTGGTTCTTTAAGGGTTTATTTTTTCCATTTAGGCTCTCATAATATGAAGTATACAAGGAGAGAGATTTCATTTTAAATTACTGTAGAAATACAATTCTATAGTCTGTCTGGTCACTTTTGAAAGAATAAATTTACTGTACTAACTTGAATTATCCCCGAAAATCATTTGGAGGAAGTTTAGCTCTAGGGTGTCCTTGTTTTTAAGTGATATTTTTGAAGTATTTTTTCAAGTTAGGTCCCCAAAACACAAAAGTACTTAAAACCCTGTGAGACCAATGGCAAGTGTTACCAGAAAGCATGGTTACGTAACCTCATAAGTACTGTTTCTTCTCATTCCATCCTGAAATTATCTGTACATGAATTTCAAAGGAAGTCACCAAAGGCAGACCTGTATCTGAGGGAAGGGGATCAAAGGGATGCTGGCAGACCCACTGTTATCATAAAGACCTCCAGTCTGGCAAGATCAAAGTCTCAGTATAAAGAGCATGTCTTCCAATTTGGTTCTGCCTTAACTTCCGTTTCCACCCCCCGCTTCCCCCAAAGAAAACTGTTCAATTTTAGATCTGAAATCTCAGAGTGCATACACATAAATGCTATGGAAATGTCACTGGTGCTGTTCTCTGCCCTCCTAGGCCACCCATGGAAGACACCCAGACACTCCTGACCCCTGTGGTGAGCTGTGGGCCACCGGGAGCCCTGCTGACCCGCCCCGTCATCCTCACTATGCATCACTGCGCAGATCCCAACACCGAGGACTGGAAGATACAGCTCAAGAACCAGGCAGCACAGGGGCAGTGGGAGGTGAGCTGCTGTTGGGATAAAGATGGAATTCAGGAGCGATCCATGCAGATAAGCAGGACCAAGCATGGGAAGGCTTTTATTTTTCAAAGAAAATATGGATGGAATTTTATCTTACACTCAAAATGAAAGAGAGAGAAAGTGGAGGAAGGGGATAAAGAGAGGGGAGAAGGGGGGAGAGAGGCAGGAAGGGGGAAAGACGGACAGACTGTTTATTGAATGCTTTATCTGTTGACTGGTAGACACAGAAAATTATGGTCAAGCATGAGCTAGCTCATAGGGAAAGTGCCCTTAGGAATCTTACACATTTTGGAATATACATACTATACTATTCAGGAAGGGAAATTTCTTTATATACACTTTGATTATAAAGTCAGTGTTTATGAACATACAGTTCATTTTCAAAATGGGAAAGAATCTACAGAAATGAATAAATTATTTTTAATCAATGCCTGTTTTCAAACCGATGACCGTTCTGGTCCAGGCACTGTTGATAATGCGAAGCAATGGAATCACAAACATCAAGCATCATTTTGTTCCATATTTGTGTGTCCTCGACCCTTGTATTTTTGTGTAATCATTACAAAGACAAGTATCCAATCTATATGTTACGTATTTTGTGATTACATATCATATTTTTCTTTTACGAAAGAAACATTTGAACAAACTATACATAATATTTTAGGAAAAAGTCATATTGGACTTAGAAGAGCAGCAGGGCATCCCTGAATTAACTGGAATTTCCTTCTATGGACATGTTCTTTCAGCCACTTGAGGGGATCACTCCTTGTTAGAGGACCTCCAGTCCAAGATTGAAGTCTAGGAATATCCTCTATGTTAAGACCAGACTTAACCAAATCTAACTTTAATTTAATTAAGCTTTAAATAATATATCTCAAAAACATTCCAAAGTATTAGTTCAAATTGCACAATTAGTGACCCCAAATTGCACAATTCTCTACACAATTACATTATGTCTGGGTAATGTGAATAATAATAATTTGAGTAATAATAATAATAACATCAATACTAATAAAAGAAAGAGATGTGAAGAGAAGAGGACAGTCCTTATGCAAACACTTATATTTGGGACAGGGACAGGACATCTATATTCTTGACCATATCCTCCAGGAGGCTTTCTGTAACATGCCGTTATTAGATGATGCCCGAGGCCGGTGTTCACCCTGCTAGAGAAAGCAGCTGCTTTCCAGGTGTCCTTTCGGGCAGGAATAAACCTGGAGAAGCTGAGCTTTTCCCATTCAGGTTGAACTTCATCTTTGGGTACAGGTTCAGTTGAAGAAACGATTTCATGGATGCTATGAAAAGACCTGGAGCTCAGATGACGTTGCAAGGCCTAACTAAAACACAGCCACCTCAGGGGGCTACTTCTTTCATATCTTTGTCCAGCCCCAGGGACTCAATTGTTGATAATGCGAAGCAATGGAATCACAAACATCAAGCATCATTTTGTTCCATATTTGTGTGTCCTCGACCCTTGTATTTTTGTGTAATCATTACAAAGACAAGTATCCAATCTATATGTTACGTATTTTGTGATTACATATCATATTTTTCTTTTACGAAAGAAACATTTGAACAAACTATACATAATATTTTAGGAAAAAGTCATATTGGACTTAGAAGAGCAGCAGGGCATCCCTGAATTAACTGGAATTTCCTTCTATGGACATGTTCTTTCAGCCACTTGAGGGGATCACTCCTTGTTAGAGGACCTCCAGTCCAAGATTGAAGTCTAGGAATATCCTCTATGTTAAGACCAGACTTAACCAAATCTAACTTTAATTTAATTAAGCTTTAAATAATATATCTCAAAAACATTCCAAAGTATTAGTTCAAATTGCACAATTAGTGACCCCAAATTGCACAATTCTCTACACAATTACATTATGTCTGGGTAATGTGAATAATAATAATTTGAGTAATAATAATAATAACATCAATACTAATAAAAGAAAGAGATGTGAAGAGAAGAGGACAGTCCTTATGCAAACACTTATATTTGGGACAGGGACAGGACATCTATATTCTTGACCATATCCTCCAGGAGGCTTTCTGTAACATGCCGTTATTAGATGATGCCCGAGGCCGGTGTTCACCCTGCTAGAGAAAGCAGCTGCTTTCCAGGTGTCCTTTCGGGCAGGAATAAACCTGGAGAAGCTGAGCTTTTCCCATTCAGGTTGAACTTCATCTTTGGGTACAGGTTCAGTTGAAGAAACGATTTCATGGATGCTATGAAAAGACCTGGAGCTCAGATGACGTTGCAAGGCCTAACTAAAACACAGCCACCTCAGGGGGCTACTTCTTTCATATCTTTGTCCAGCCCCAGGGACTCAATTTACGTTGAAACATGCCTTCATTTTTTGGACAAATAACCATTTGCTCACCATCAGCCAGGCCCACTGAGACACAGTGGGAAGCAAAGTAGATATAATTCCTGCCTCTGTGGAGATGAAGTAGCCTAATGCAGAGGGTGAACTATACCTGCACATGTATTTTATTTCTCCCACATGAAATTTTCTTTTAAGTTTGAATTAATGAAAAGGACGATTTCACATAAAAATCTAAACTTCCAGTTTCTCTTGAAAAATTAAAGGCTGTATGCTCAGTAGCCCTAAGTTTATGCAAAGCTACAAAGGGCTGAAGCCAAGTGGAGACTCAGCTCTTTAGACAGGCCTATGCTCTGCTTTACCACAGTCTCCATCACTCCTTATTGTCTTCCTATTACCTTGATGCTTTGGGAAGCATGTGGAACTGTGACCCTTGGTTTATGAATTCTATGCTTGCTCTTTCAGATAATTTCTGTTGCCTGTGTCATTTGGATAAATTTAAAACTGTATGACCCAGTGGTTGAGTGTCAACCTATGAATCAGGAAGACACGGTTAGATTCCCGGTCAGGCACATACCTAGATTTCAGGCTCGATCCCCAGTAGGGGGCATATAATAGGCAGCCGCTCAATGATTCTCTCTCATCATTAATGTTTCTAGCCCTCTCTCCCACTCCCTTCCTCTCTCTGAAATCAATAAAAACATATTTTTTAAAAACTGATTGAGTTAGTAACTATTTTCACAAAATTCATCACTTCCACTTATTTTTATTTCTTGCTAAATATTTTCAACATCTAAGGAAAGATTATTTAAAGGCTTACATGAACAATAACACAGAAAATTGTCTTAAAGGCATGGAGTTGGCCATACTGTGCTTTCTGTAGAGTCCAGCTGGCCAAATTATTGAGGAAAAATAGTTGTTTTGCTTTAGAAAGTAATTGGCAGGTGAGTTTGGAAGAACACAGTAGAATGATACTGCATGATTCCTTAAGTTTTCTAATTATTTTCAAACCCTAGATTTTTAGGAAAAAGAAAAAAAATGACTGCTATAATTGCATTGAAATAAAATAGCCGAAACCGGTTTGGCTCAGTGGATAGAGCGTCGGCCTGCGGACTCAAGGGTCCCGGGTTCGATTCCGGTCAAGGGCATGTACCTGGGTTGCGGGCACATCCCCAGTGGGAGATGTGCAGGAGGCAGCTGATTGATGTTTCTCTCTCGTCGATGTTTCTAACTCTAAATAAAATAAAATAGTACTTTTAGTCTCAAAAATATTTTGGAGATTAAAACATTAAATTCTCATAAACACATAATAAATATAGCTACACTGAAAAAAAAGATAGTTCATGAATTTGCTTTGGAATTTTATGTAGATTCTCAGATCAAAACATGCTAAATGAATGGCATCTAAACAAAGAATATAAGCAGTAAAGGCCAGGGAAGTAAGGGAGATAACAAAGACAGATGGAAATAGAGGGATAATAAAGCCTGGGAAAGAAAAAAAAAGAGTAGGAAAATTCATAAGCAAATTCAGGAGAAGAGGTCCTGCGGCCTCTACCACCATTGGGCGGCATCAGGTCCTCCGTGCTCAGCCAGGATCCCTTCCCTCTTGTCCCACAGGATGTGGTGGTGGTGGGAGAGGAAAACTTCACCACCCCCTGCTACATTCAGCTGGATGCAGAAGCCTGCCACCTCCTCACAGAGAACCTCAGCACCTACACCCTGGTCGGGCAGTCCATCACCAAAGGGGCCGCCAAGCGCCTGAAGCTGGCCATCTTCGGCCCACTCTGCTGCTCCTCTCTAGAGTACAGCGTCCGAGTCTACTGTCTGGATGACACCCAAGATGCCCTGAAGGTAAGTGGCTCCTGCCTGACCTGCCCTCTTCACCTTCCCCCCAAAGGTTGGCTGCGCACACCTAGAGTAAGTGTGTGTGTGTGTGTGTGTGTGTGTGTGTGTGTGTATGTGTGAGCGCGCGCACCCCAGTGTGTGAACACAAGTGTTTGGCCTCAAAAGATGCAATTTTTTTTTAAATGAGACATTTCTCTAAGACCAGGCTGATAAATGAGCTGTTTCCACTACATTGATCCCTCCCAAGGGCTACTTTTGTTTACCTTCCTTGATTTTCTTTAATGAAAAATTAAGAAGGGAGAATTTGGCAAGGAGACTTGTGGCTGGTAAAAATCTGCCTCCATGTTTATCTCAGCTGCGTTCTTCCTATAAAAGGAATTGGCATAATTGCTCACACTGTATGTTCCTCTTGTGTGCTACTGCATTTATATGCTTTCCCATTCTTTTTATGAGGACTGCAAGGGAGAGGGTTAGCATTTGACAACAGGCTGCTGCTTTGCAGAATAAATAAGCTTAGTACCTGGTGCCATTATTGCCATTCATTTGATCCCATTTGAAGCTGTAAAGGACATAGTAAGTGCCTTTGGAGAAGTTACAATCTAAAAGGAGGAATACAAGCAGCATGCCAAGGACTAGGAGATAAGTCAGAGTGTGATAAAGACCACAGATGAATGCAAAGTTCTGTGGAAGTTCAAGAGAGGGAGGCATCATATTATTTTAAGGAAATAGGAGAAGCTAACATTTTATATTGGCCCTAAAGAAAATATGGTTTGACCAGCAATAATGGGGAAAAAAACTATAAGATTTCTAGGTGAAGGGGACAGCATGAAGAAACGGAGGGGACACTGAATACAGACTCTATGGGTGCATAGTAGAATGACAGATGGGAGTTTTATTGGGTGAACCTTGACTGCCAGCTAGAGGAGTTGAGATCCAGTTTCTTGAGTTAATGGGACTCACTGGAGAAATTTAAACAGAAGAAAGACATGATTGGAAATAGATGTTAAAATCTTAGTCTGATGTCAGTGGAAAGACAGAGTCAAGTTAAGAAGAAAAGCATGGAAGACCTGGGGTGATGACAGAGGCATGAGAAGAAGAGGATAGGTGTGGAAGGTCCTGTTCAAGTAGCTCTTGCAGGACCTGCTAACGAACACTGAATGCGTGGAGCAAGCCTGCCTCAAGTCACAGTAGCAAACCCAGGTGGTCAGTAGCAGCTCGGGGTGTGATATGGTGCCTTTGCTTTGGGTGTATTGAGTTCAAAATAGGAATTAGATATCAGGACAAAAATGCCCACGGCATAGAAATATGGGTGTGGCTCTCTGAACAGAGTAAATCCTGAGATAGAGACTCAGGAACCAACTGTATATTGATAGTTGTCATTCATGGTGATAAAAAGTAATATCAAGGGAGAGTAGAGGAAGAAAATAATAAAAATAATAAACATTACTGAGAACTTGCTATGTGTTGGACAAGTTTCTAAATATTTTTTATTAACTCACGTAATCTTCACAACAGCCCTATAAGATAGCATTATCCCATTTTTTAAAAAATATATTTTATTGAGTTTTTACAGAGGACAAGGGAGAGGGATAGAGAGTTAGAAACATCGATGAGAGAGAAACATCGATCAGCTGCCTCCTGCACACCCCCTACTGGGGTGCCCGCAACCAAGGTACATGCCCTTGACCGGAATCGAACATGGGACCCTTCAGTCCGCAGGCTGCCGCTCTATCCACTGAGCCAAACCGGTTAGGGCTCATTATCCCATTTTTAAAAAGTGCAATCCAAGGCACAGAAAGGTTAAGTAAGTCACTCTAGGTCACACAGCTATTGAGTGTAGAGTACAAGCCTCACTCCCAGGCCTCTGGCTGCAGTCTGGACTCTCCAATCCGAAAGTGGGTTTCTCAAAGGGCCACTTCCTTGTTTAAACGAGGCATGCAGCCCACAGGCCTCGAGTTTGACGTGCCTGCCCTAGATCGTAGGGACCAAAGGGGAGCCCTGGCTTTGCAAGGCAGGACGAATGGAAGCCTTCAAAGGAGCTTCTGAAGGATGAGGGCCCAGAGAAGGAAGACGAGAAGTGGAAGAAAAATGTGCCAAGTAAAGCAATTTTTCTGAAAAATCAGGGTATTTCCTTCCGGTGTTTCTATCCAGAGAGTATTTCTGGGTCATGAAGACTGAGTGTGGCAGGTTGGGTCCATGAAGAGAATGAGACAGTCAGTCACTGGATATATTTTTGATGGTTGAGCCTGTAGGAGTTTCTGATGTTGAATAAATGATGTGAACACACAGCTCAAGTGTAAAGCCTAAGGTTATTTCTTTTATATTCTTTGCAAATGTGATACTTCTAAGGCTCTGTCAGGATAGAAATCATCCTAGGCTTAAATTCTTCTTAGGGAAAAAGTGTATCTGTAGAGGAGTCGTGGGATCTGATTAAGGTGAATCTTTTTAATGATTCCAAGAAAAATCGTTGCAGAAGATGTACATCATACTTGAACTATTTGATACACGTATTTTGTATTCACACACATAGTTCTTACACTCAGGCACTCTTGACCTTTCTTCCCAACAGACACACACAAATCCATGCAAACAAAATAATAGTTTATAAGTAATTTTGATTATTTTAATTAGTGGTCAACACCAAGAAAGACTGATGCACAGGTTTAAGCCGTGAAAACACCCAAGAGCAGTTTGTGTTGTGGTCAGTGCTTTCCAAGTAGACATCTATAAATTCTCAGCATCTGGGGATCCAGCACTTAGCCTGAAACAAACATGAATAATGGATAAGGCGTCTTATACCTCATGGCCTTTGAATAGTGCAGAAATGCCAAAATCCTAGTTACAGGTGAGCGGTCTAAGTTGAGTAACTTAACAAGGAGACAATTTGTTCAGCCACACGACCAAACTGGAATTGGAAACTGGGGGCCGATAAACTCAGAAAAAGGCCCTTCATTACCTCAGTTCTGCCTTTTTGGCACCCTGCCTGCCAGGGTTCCCTACCAGTCTCTCTACCGTATCCCTACTTCTCTACTGTCTGCTATCCATAAACACTGTCTTTTGCAAATACCTCCTCCTTCTTTAGCCCCCCCCCCCAACTTCTCACTTATGCTCTTCCTAAATCTGTAGTTCTCTATCCCACACACACAGGAGCCAGGTGGGGAGCTTTAAAAAAGATTCGCTCTGGGATCCCAACCCAAAAGTTCTGATCTAATTGGCCTGGGTATTGGTTTTTGTTTGTACAGTATTTTTGTTTTCTGCACTTCCTGGATAATTCCACTGTGCAGCCAAGATTCAGAACTATTATCCAAAACACTTTCACAGATCTTTTGGGAACTTTAACCCTATTAAGGACAAACTTTCCTACATCCTCAAATCATTCTCTCCCCCGTCCCTTTACCTGTTCACATTAACTGCAACATGACATTTCTCACAATCCCTACAGTCAGGACTTCACCCTCTAACTTACCACAGGACCAGGAGGGAAAAGTGCCAATACTTCTCACACCCCATGACCACTTCTGGGGCGTCACTGTATTTCAGGGACTAGTTCTGTTATTATTTCTTCTGTTACTCTGTTATTCATTACCCATTTTAGTTCCTTGGTGCAGAATACCCTTAATATATAGGGTGGGGCAAAAGTAGGTTGTAATTTATAAGTAACAATGCAAGAGTAAACTCTGTGTTCCCCATACTCACAACTGTACACTTACTTCTGCCCCACCCTGTATATCCCCACGCTAGCGGTACCTGCCTGTGTTGTTGTTTTCCTACCCATTTTATTCCCAGCATCCTCTCAAATTCAGTCACCACTTAATCACAGTTCCTTTGCCCAGGTTTATTCTAGTAGCTTTCACATCATCCCATATTATCTATCCACCAGTGTAGACACACTCTAGATTTAATCCTCATTACAACCACACCCAGGTCTCCATTTATGAAGCTACTTCTTTCTGACCACAATCACATGACCTTCCATGTCTTATACACAAGGTGCAAGCAACTTCCCTCTGTTCTTAAGGAAGAACCCCCTCAACCTTTTGCAATCTCCTGGTCCACAAACCCTTATCTGCTCATAGCCATATCCACAGGGAATTTACTCCCACTCTGAAATGTCTTACCATCTGGAACTGCTGCAGGTTTTTCTCATTTGCATAGCTAAAGAGGACCTCCACCGAACGAGCCTTCAACTTCTACTTCCAGGATGTTGAGTTGCTCTAAAAATTCATAAATTGCTAATTGAGTCTATTGTAATCTCAAGATATCTGCCCTAAGCTATGTTTCCCCCTGATTCTCCACAATCTTTTCATTTATCATTCATATATATAGTTTAAAAAATATTTTATTGATTTTTTTTTTAGAGAGAGAGGAAGGGAGAGGGACAGAGAGAGAAAAACATTGATGCCCCCTACCAGGTATCAAGTCCACAACCCGGACATGTGCCCCGACCAGGAATCAAACCAGCAACCTTTTGGCGCACAGTATGATGCCCAACCAACTGAGCCACACAGGCCAGACCTCATTTGTCCCTCCTAGACACATCAGATTTCACAGAGCACTTCTTCTAAGTCTCTCCTGCTCTCTCCAAGTCCCTGATTTTATCAAGGCCCCTTTGTGTTTCACAAAGACCTAACTTCTATTGAGCCACCCAAGGGATGCTCCCTCAGCCGCCACTGTCCTTCACCCTTGAAACCTTCCATTTCAGCCTCTCCGCACCTAGTCTGGGCTCTGATGAAAAGGAGCCCCGCTTCCTTGTTTGTGCTTTAATTCTCTCCTTCCTCTACCACCTGCACCTCCAGCACAGCAAATGCTGCCCCAAAGTGGGTCTCCCCAGACTTGATATTTTCTTACAGTTATGGCTGTGCACTGGGGATTCTTTCTGAATTGCAGAAACCCTCACAGAATGCTGGGCTAGGGCAGAGTGGGGAGCCCAGTGGAGCTCTCCTTCTAAGGCTAAGGACCCCACCGTCCAGAGAGCTGTTGGGAGAAGATGATGTCTGGAGCTGAAC